AGGCTCAATTTTAGTATTAAATTTGAATATTTATGCAGGTAATTAAGTAGGCACGTAGTAAATTTACAAACTAGATAATATTATGCATTGTACCTACTACATAAGTTTAATATTACATATTATAGTATAAAATAATAGGTGACTGAAATACGCAATAAATATAATTTTTCAAGTCACCATGCTAAAAATGAATACAGTTTAGCATGCCAAAATATTATAAATACACAATTTTCGAAATACCTATGCGAAAACATTTCAATATTATTCAAACAATGATAAAAGTATAAATAATAAAATACTATACACTGGGGAGATAAAATATTTCTATTTTTCGAATACACCTACTTAAAATTACTATTTGCTGTTAATCACTATTAAGTTACTAACAACATATGGCAGGTATATAATATAGATTTGAAAATGGAGAATAGATACAAGAAAATATAATATGTCATTAAAACTGAGAAGAACATTATTTGGTATATATCGTTATTAAAATTTATTGACACAGTCAAATTTGCCTTATTTTTTTTTTTTTAAATATTTGAATTACCTATATATTCTAAAATTTTACCATTGTCCTTACTTTTTTCATCCTTATTTTACAGGAAAAACGACTACCTACTTTTGATTTTCAAATGATAACATTGGCAACCTATATAAAAAATTTCATAAATAGATGGAGTATTTTTTTTTTCTATTAATATTTGATTTATTATATTTATGGTTGTTGAAAAAAATTCAAAATAAAATCATAAATGCATTATAAGTTTGCCAACACATAGTAAGAATTTCAAAGTCTTATATGGAGTGAAAAATTAATATTAATATTTTTAAATTGCATTTTCCCGTTCTATGGTCTATCCTGCTATCCTATGCACTATATTTTGTAATAATTAATATTATTCAGTAAATTAATTAATGTAGATAAATACAACAATAATCATATTATGGGATATCAAATTATAAAATGATATTATTAACGAATAAAATACAACTGAGTGGCTATTTTAGGAATACTGTCCATAAGTGATGTTTCAACCCTATATCGTATTGATAAACCAAAGACTACTGTAGAAAAAACCTTTCTATACCCATTTTACAATGGTAGCTCTATGATAATTCCAAACATAATTTGATTATGATTACAATTGTAAACGAAATTGTTTTATCATGCCTTCTTGTCTCATGTCAATTATTCAACTAAAGTATTTTCGTGTTATAAAACTAGTTAAAAATGTTTAGTGAAACAATTTATTACGTAGGTAACATAACAAAATTATTATGACCAGTAAAAATGGTGAACAATTGAAAAATGAAACTATTGTGGTACCGGTTTAATAAAGTTAAAAAGTTTTTAACATAATATACCCAACTAAAATCTATCCGAAAAAATGAATGTCGGAATCTAAGTCATTTTTGCAACACTCAATAGCTTTTACAGAACTGATTAAACGTAATCAATTCAATAATCAGTTATTGATCGTTTATGCAACCTGGACATAGTGTATGTAAATTTTAACACCTGTTTTTCACAAAAATACCATACAGGTGCATTATATACTTACTGGTGGAAGTTCTGAAAAAATCTCCTTGAAAATCGGAAACGTTTTAGTCAAGCTACAAATGTACAAAATGAACGTCTGTAAGACACTGCCAATACACATATAATAAATTGCTACCATACCAAAAAGTGATTTTTTTATTTAGAAATTGATTAATTACCGACAAATACCTACCTCTAATTTCGAAATATAGGTAATAAACTTGGTAATAAATAATATTTATGTAGATACCTTGTGTACCAACAGTATCTTGTGTATCTACCTAGTGTAGATACTTAGGTACTTACACTATATTTTGTCGCCAATTATTATTAAAATAATAATATATAGGTTAAACGTTTTGAAGCGCATAAACATTTGTTTCCTGTTGTAAGTAATAAAAAATTTTAAAAAAAGGCAAACAACGCTGTTTTTTTCTTAATATAGTTAATAAGTCTCTTTGGCAGGACATCCGATCTTTTTCGAGGGTCTTCCGGATTTTCGCAAGGTAGCTAAGGACCCTTATTATTTAATATTTTTATTAACACCGTATGCTCAACTGTTCCCCCCTCTCGCTTTCTCCTATTTGCCGACAATTCTAAAATTTTTCATAAGATTTCCTCATACGATGATTGCCTCACTCTTCAACACACCTTTGATAAATTTTTCACATAGTGTAAAACTTTTAATTTGTCGCCAAATGTAAAGTAATGACCTTTTATCACTCTAGGTCCGTAAAACCTTTTGTCTACAAACTAAGCAGACTATCTGTTCATCGTGTTAACCAAGTCCAGGATTTGGCATTGCGTTTGTTCCTTCGCTTAACTTTAGCCCTCATATTAATATTATGACTGGAAAATCTTTCCATGTATTGGGTTTTAAAAGGAGATACTCAGTTAATTTTAGCTCCTCTAATTGCCTACTGGATCTCTATAACACCTTAGTCCGTTCGGTTCTTGAATATGGGTTGGTTCGTTGTATGGTCACCAAACACCGCCTCTGACATTCGACGGACTGATCGAGTACAAAACTATTTTATGAGCTTTTCTGGTTACTGTCTCAATATTCTCCACCCAAACATGATTACAGGCCTATTAGTCAAGCTCTTAAACTAAATTACCTTTCTGATAGGCGTAATAAATTTGGTGTTAACTTCATTCGTGATCTAATCGAGGGTCGAGTCGATGCCCGAGGATTCTTGAACTACTTGATTTTCGTATTCCCAGTAATACTAGACTACAGTCTACTTTTTATCTCCCTAACAATACATCTCACTTAGCCAGAAATGCCCCACTCTCGAGAATAATGCGCAACGCGAACTTGCCTTAATATTTTTAGAGCGGAGGCGCACTCTTTTGCTTGTCTCTTGGTTTCTTTGTTTATTCTTGTTGTCATTATACTATTATTATTATTATTAGTAGTAGTAGTAGTAGTAGTAGTAGTATTTAAGTTAGTCTAATATAAACAATACTGTTATTTTATATCCTTACTTACACGCTCTATATATATATATTATTTGTAAAAAGCCGACTGGCGTTTATATTCTAATAAATAAATAAATAAATAAATATCTCTATTTTGTACTTGTTCAAATCTGATATTTTTTTTTAAGAAGACGTAAACCAAAATTTTAGTTGTATTTATTTTAATGCGTCCAGTTTTCTCATTTTTCAAAATGAGTGCAATTATAATAGGTACTATATAGCATACAAAACGATATCAAATAAAATCAAATTTTACCGGTGAGTACTTATATCGTAATATATTACAAGAAGATTGTGCAACTAATTGCAGGTAAGTAAGTATAAATTCATTTATGGTAATTGAATGCAAATTTCAACGTCAATATACCTACCTACTTGAAATGTACTCGAATATTTATTTAACCTATCGCAAACTTAGTAATTGTCATCGAATTGTTATCTTTTAAACTGCTTATCAAGAGACACAGACACAGTGGGCGTCAGCGTTTTCAGAAATAATAATTGTTAACAAAGTTATAATAAAAATAAAAATACTATTTGTTCTACCCCGGACAATGAGTTGAATATTTAAAACGGATTTTCAAATGACAATATTTTTCGAAATTATGCCATCTTCAAATTGTACAATAGGCCTGTAATAATCTCCGAAACCGATTTTAAAGGCTTTTTCGTTTGTTATACGTGAACTACGCCCACGTTTGCTTCATTGCCGGTTGTAGAAATACGTTTCTAATTTGATTGATGTATCGTGATGCATATTATAGTCCGCCGACTGGAGACACTGGACGGAGTACCCACATACTTAATTATAATCAATATAATTGTACCGAGGATCGTAACCTACCCATCAATAACGTTCAGGGAATCACGATAACAATAATTCATAAAGCGGATGCACTTAAACCACCGTCAACTACGACAATCGGGATTTGCGGTTATAACGCTCGGCTATTACCGCGGGTACAACGGCGAAAAAACAGTGAACACGGTGATTGACGGGGCCCGTATCCTAGAGTCGTGTGCTAACCCCGGTACCTACCTAATAACGGTCGGCGAAAATACAAAGGGGAAATCTTTCCGGCTCACTTCCTGTGTTTCTAAATCCCGTTTTAAACATCGAACGCGAGTGACGAATGACGAAATATTACCAACAAAACGAATTTTCAATAAGTCGGATGGCCAGCCTCCTGAGGTACGCGAACGGGGTAAAAACGTATACACCCGTGGTTCTGCCGTTCCCCCTACCCGACGGACAGACTCCCCAGCGCTTACGTGACGTCGAGAAGCGGTAAGCGCACGCAGCACACCGTTTCCAACGGCGAGGCGATTATCATGTGCGGCCGTCGACTAGCCGTAAACCCAAAATAACTAATCACCGTGTCCACAGTCAAGGCTCTGCCGTGCATGAACTTGACCAAATAAGGTCGCCCCACTGCCGCCGGCCACCGCACAACAGGTGCTGCGGTGCGTTTCCATCCATCGGCGATAAGTATCTACGCGCGCGCCGCCGCTGCCGGCCAGAGTTATACGCGCACTCACACCACAGTCAACCCCCGACACCGACGAGGGTGCACCACCACAACAACAACGACAACAACAACAACAACAACAACAAACACGACGAGCGGGGCTGCGACGGACGACGGCGGCGGGCAGATGGGCGGAAGCCGGGAAGCCTGCAGTGATGGAGGTGTGTAGTTGTAGTAGAAGAAAAAGAGAAAGTGTTGCGCGCACCTGTCACCCGATAGCATACTATAGGAAAACCCGGACGTCCGGTGACGCGCCGTACACGTTTTTCGTTCGCGTTTTAACGATAAATACTATGAACGTTATAGAAAAACGCATTACACCGTACATTAATTAATAATCCGCACGGCTTGCGCGTACCGTACTCGCTTCGAAAATATTTCGACAAAACGTTGTACAATAATAGTAGGTAATTATAACTGGTAAGTAGTTTACAAGTCCCGTCTTACCTGAGCTGCCGTCCGAGAACGACGAGGACAACGGCGGCGTCCGCACCACGACGATTTCTTCCACCATTCCAGTGTCGTCCGGTTGCCCGGCGGCCGCCGTCGCGTCTTCTTCGTCGTCGGTTTGGTTTTCTATTTTGAACGCGATCAACATGACTCGTTCGGTGGCGGCTGTTGCTGCTGCTGAGACCGAAGCTACTGCTGTAACGGCGTCGGCTGCGGCTTCGGATTCATTGACGTCAACGACGACGACGCCGCCGCCGCTGGTGCTGTCGTTGCTGTTGCTGCTGCTGGTGCTACCGCCGCCGTTACCGTCGTCGCCCGCCATCGACGGGCCAGACGTCGCGTATTCCGACAATTGTGCCGTCATGGTCGTCCAGCGGCATTTCCGATGACCGATGTCCGCAACGGCAATAATGTAGGTCGGTAGGCCATATTATCACTTGCACTTGTGTTTCACGGCGGACACACACACGTCGGACGATGTATTATACATGTATCATAGGTGTATATTATGTACCTGGATATGTACGTGTTATATATGTATACAAAACACTAGCACAACACAGCACACAGGACGGCAACCGTGCGGACGACCGCGAATTACAATAATATAATAGAAAAATATTATACGTGTGTGTGTGTGTGTGTTTATGTGTGTGTGTGTGTGTGTGTGTATCGTGAGCGATGTGCGAGTGTGCGTACACGTCGGCGGCGGACGATTATTGCCGAGTACCGGATGACAAAGTCGAGACGCGAAGGGATGCGACGACGAATTCGACGGCGGACGAACTTATTGTTGTTATGATTTTTGTCCTACACACACCACGAGGGGGAAAGATTAAAAAAAAAAGTGAAAATGATTAATTTGGTTTGTGAACGAGGATAAAAAAAAAAAAAAAAAAACAACAACACTGTGATTCCACTTACGTAGACCGCAGGCTTGCCGTGTGGACGGTCCTTTTGGAAAGTAGGTCATCCAACGTGAACCGTTTGTGAAAAATACCCGCGTCGTCGAACAGTACGGTTGAGCTCGATAAATATGTATAATATTAGTTTTCACACAAATTTTACGCAAAAATCCAATGTTAAAACGTATGAATTAGACGAAAACCGTGGTTTTTCAACCTTTATCGCGTAATAACGACATCTGTTGTCTCGGCAAGAGACTACGTTCAGTTCATGTTGGTCACACTGCAAAATGGTATATCGTTATCAACAGATTAATTTTCTAAGAAATATAATATTGTATGTATTGTTGGTCGAAATTAGGAATAATATATTACTGTATAGTGTGTGAATAGATACATATATATATATATTTATATTAATAGAGAATACTATCGGTAAGCACTAAACATTATTGTCAAGAAATAAATCTGCAAATTAAATATAATTAATATTATGCTTCGTAATTTTAGTCAATACTAGTAATATGGCCGTTTCTGCAACTTTACAGGTAATACAATCTAGTGTGTATTAAATGCTATTCCTTCATAATATTTAATGCACTTTTGATAAATAGTCTCACAATATTTAGAAATAATATTCTTTAGATAATGATTGTCGCCATAAAATTATACATATTAAAAATAAATACAAAATATTCTACTTATAACTTTCAAATTATTCAAACCCTTTAAAATTACACACAAATTAGATCAATATATTTAATAGAAAATGTTTATAAATATTCTCGTACGTCTATAAAATTAAGTTGGGAATAATAGGTTCTTATCGGTATAGATTTGTTTTAGATTCTACTATTTGATTGTTACTACTTTTTTTTGTATTTAAACGACTTTCCTATCAGAAATCTTGCTCTGATGATCAATTTTATGGGTAATGAATTTTGGTATAAAATGTTCAATGAATACAATTAAGAGCTTTTTTTTTTTTTATTGTCCTTGTAGTATTCTTAATAATAAAGAAAAACATGAAGAATTGTAATATTTCAGTTATTTCCAATTTTTTTTTTTATGCCGTAAAAATAATTTCCTTTGCCAAAAATTTCACAAGAATTCTTATATATATTTTCAGATATGATACAATTTTCAAAACATTCTAGTAATTTTTCGAGTTGTTTTAAGTTTTTATTCGAGTTTATATAATTCAAATTATTTTAGCTCTGTGAAATGTATCATAAGGTTTATCATAAATTTCAATAAATGATAACAAAAATAATTGTGTTTAATGTAGAATTTTTTTTTCTAGTTAAGTCTTTAAAGTTAAAATTTTAATGAAAATGAAAAAATATGTACTGTCATATTTAAAACAAATACTAAAGGTATGGAGTGCCCCTGTGTCTCCCCTAGTTTTATTGTTTACTTATCATTATTATGTACCTACCTATCTACTTTTATACTTTTAATTCAGTGAACAATGTATTGATTAATCTACTTAAATAAGTTATTACTATTATGAAGGTATCTATAAATGCATTTTTTTTTTTTTTTATTTCAGAAAGCAATAGATTTAGTAACTAAAGCAACTGAAGAAGATCGCAATAAAAATTACGAAGAAGCTCTGAAATTATATGAAAGTGGCATTGAATACTTTTTACATGCTCTTAAATGTAAGCTAGATATAATAAATATTTGAATCCTGGACACATTCCCATAAAAAACATAAGTTTATAGCATCTTCCCTAGCTAATATTATATTAGTACATTAGATCTCAGGAGCTATTAGACATTTAGTCCCACAGTATTTTAAATAATCAGTCGAATTTAAATACTATCAAGTTTATTAATCAAGCCAATATTAGTTGATTATCTTACTTATTTATCATTTAATAATCAATTTAAACACTTTACAAAAATGTTTGTTTAGATGAAACTCAAGGAGAAAAAGCTAAAGATAGCATACGCAGTCGTTGTACACAATATTTAGAAAGAGCAGAAAAACTTAAAGACTATTTAAAAAATGGAAAAAATAAAAAGAAACCAGTTAAAGCAGGAGAGTCAAATTCTAAGTAAGATTTTTTATTAATCACTATTATGAAAAGATAAATAATTTGTTATGACTATTTAAAGAAATGATGACAAGAAAAATGATAGCGATGAAGATGGGGATGACCCTGAAGCAAAAAAGCTACAGAATAAACTAGAAGGAGCTATTGTTGTAGAAAAACCTTGTGTAAAATGGTCAGATATTGCTGGTTTGGAAGGAGCAAAAGAAGCCTTAAAAGAAGCAGTTATACTTCCTATAAAATTCCCTCATCTGTTCACTGGTAAAAGAATTCCTTGGAAAGGAATACTATTGTTTGGGGTAAATTAGATTTAACCTTGTCACTATATCCATGTAAATTAATTAGGCAGTCCTCTTTTAGCCACCAGGAACTGGTAAGTCATATTTAGCCAAAGCTGTTGCGACAGAAGCTAATAATTCTACATTTTTTTCCGTCTCATCCTCTGATCTTGTATCAAAATGGCTTGGAGAGTCTGAAAAACTTGTTAAAAATCTATTTGAATTGGCAAGACAACATAAACCTAGCATTATTTTTATTGATGAAGTAGATTCGCTTTGTTCATCACGTTCAGACAATGAATCTGAATCAGCTCGGCGAATCAAGACTGAGTTTTTAGTACAAATGCAAGGTATCATTAGTATAATTTGTTTTAATTGTATCTATCAGTGTATAGAATTTGTATTCAGTGTACATACTATTTAATTAATGTTTTTAGGTGTTGGTACTGATAATGAAGGTATACTTGTATTAGGAGCAACAAACATACCCTGGGTTCTTGATGCTGCAATACGTAGACGTTTTGAGAAACGTATTTATATACCATTGCCAGAAGAACAAGCTAGATTGTTAATGTTGAAACAAAATTTAGGAAACACCTATCATGTACTAAGTGAAACTGATTTTAAGATATTAGCAAATAAAACTGAAGGGTATTATGTTTTATAAAATAAATATAATACCTAATTTGTAATACTAAAAAACACTTTATGTTTAACAGATACTCTGGAGCAGATATCAGTATTGTTGTGAGAGATGCATTAATGCAACCAGTACGTAAAGTGCAAACAGCTACACACTTCAAAAAAATATCTGGCCCTAGTCGATCAGACCCAAATGTAACTGTAAATGACCTACTAACACCGTGTTCGCCGGGCAGCCCTGGTGCTGTTGAAATGTCATTTATGGATGTCCCTAGTGATAAACTTCTTGAACCACCAGTATCAATGGTAAGTAATTACTTATCATTTATAATTTGTATTTGTATGAATAAGATAATATATCAATAACTATTTTTTTTTATAGAATGACATGTTAAGATCGTTGGCTACATCTAAACCAACAGTTAATGATGACGATATGAAAAGATTAGATAAATTTACAATGGATTTTGGTCAAGAAGGATAGTGATGTTAATGTTATACAGGTTTTATACTTAAAAATTAAATTTTTTTTTTTCTATCAATTCATAAGTTTAAATTTGAAAATTGTATGCGTTTATATGAAATAACTATACGAGTTTGTACCAATGTATAAAACCTGCTCGCGTCACTCAATAAGTGTGAGTCAGCTTAAAATGTTCAAATAAATGAAACAAATTCAATATTAACTAACCAGTTTTCCCAATTGATCAAGACATTATTTATTTTTTTAAGTTATTAAATTATTTATTCCAACTTGTAATATTGTAGATTATATTATTTTTATCAGTTATATATATTTCTACTTATTTACTACTCCATTAAACATATATTTTATCAAGGAAATTTCCGTGTGATTACTAGAAAATTTTGGTGGGCATAACAATGAAATATGCCTCTTCATAGTTATTTTATTTACTTTAGATGTACAATAATATAAATAATATCATTTTTATTTTTTTATATAATATATAATCATATTTTATGTCTACTACTAGTTGTAATTATTAAATAAATCAATTGCCCACAGTAAACATAACAACATTTGATATATCATATGTAAAGTATATTCTACACAATAATAAGTCATTACAAACAATACCTTCCTAAACTAAAACTTACTTTTTATTTAACTTAATGTTAAAAAATATAAATATATTTATAATAGTTTTTTTTTTTTTTTTTAATTTCTATATAACACCAACCATTAATTTCATAAATTATCTTTTGAATTCCAACTTCATATAAGTGGGCTCACAAGCCATCACTGGTAGCTTTTATCTGTGAACTGATTGAAATGATATATCATTATAGTACATTGATTAAAAAATATATGTATTTTCTTGACTTTTATTTAATTTGTAAATTTTTGTTTAGACAGCAAAGGGTAACCAAGAAAAAAAAATAAAATCTTAAAATACCTCAACATTTCTCAATTTGAGGGAGTTTATTGAAATATAAAATAATTTTTTTTCTTTTTAAATTATCACTTAAAAATTGTAAATGATAGATATTTTATAGGTTATATATAAAACATTAATTGGTGCACAATGAGGAATTATATCCCTCGAGGATGTGAAAAGGGTTAGGTGTTATGGATCCAAGAGCAAATATTTCAAATAGGTTATAAAAAAAATGTCCATTAAATTAATTTAAAAGAATTTATTTTAATAATAGTAAGACAAATTTTGCAATTTTATTAGTTCATAATAATTTGTTAGTGTAATTGTGTTTTTCATTACATTATTATAATATAAAAGATATTGTATCATATTTTACTATTTTATCTGTAGTCAACAGAGAAATTGTTATCATTAGTAACTAGTAATATATTGTCTATTAGCGATTGGCCTACCTATATATTTTTCGATCAAATTCTCAAAGGTTTAAACCTCGAGTATTTTCTCTTTAATTTAATTAATGTAACAGTGCACATTTAGATTTACTATTAATTCATGTATCACTCAATATGATGAATATACAAATACATAATAAATGTTTTTAAGAATTTACCTCTAACAGATGTGATAGATCATATATATAGTCACTTCCACTGTCTCACCTCGCATCTATCATAACACTGATCTTTCTCCATCACTGATAAAATTAAAGTGAAATTTTTCCCCCTTTTGTCCAATGACATCAAATTTTTTACATCTAATATTTTCACTGTTTTTTCAATAGACAACATAGTCAATACTAAATTCCAATCTTGTCTCATTTTCAATTTCAAATAGTTTATATATACGAGCCTAAATAGCCTCAAATAAGCAAAATAAAAATATACATATACAAATTAATTTTCAATTAAGTAATGAATGAAAAATATAATTATTTACACTAGAATATATTATTATGAAATGATATCTATGTGTATTGTTGTAATGAAGTAAAGCATTAAGAGTACCTAATAATATACAATTTTATCAAAACCTATAAATTAACAATAGTATATTATAAACTGGGTGCATTTAATAGATTTTACCCCAGCCACAATAGTCACTAGCTTCAACTTGATTATATAATAGTAAATTTCATTAATAATTGTCTGCCTATAGTACATGACAAGTTATAATGAATTTTATACTAATTTGCCATGGTAAATTAACAAAACATAACAGATAAATGGACTGTCCAGCCTTACATATCATTATGTCAATACTTCTTTCTTGTCTAATTAATCTGATCAAATTAAATTAAATTAAATTAGGGGTTCCATCTCATTTCACCAAATATAACACTCATTTCCGTGGTATCTTTTCTTTTTCAATTATTTATTAAATTTCCTTCAATGGCTTGATGTGATGATTCACTATTTTTTTTTTTTATATATATATATATACTGTGTACAAAAATTCTATCAGAAATCTTGCTCTGAAGTATCAAATATAGCACCTTTTCTGCGTGGATTCAATAAATGGGAAAAAAAAAGTACAATATTATTAAAAAAGAAAGAAAATATATAATGCATATGTAATTATTTAAATAATGTAACATATATTTTTGACAAAGTAACACTTCTAACCTAACTTCACTCAGAATCATTTTTTATTAACAATAGTTAATAGGCGATAGTTGCCTACAGATTTACATTAAATTTGCCTTCTATCTTCCCAACTACTCACCTACAACAATGGCCCATGTGCATTGTATGTCCATCTTTTTCTCTTAATTTTAGCCAATTTTATTCTCAATTAATCCATGTACCTATCTATTTTTAATGTTATCACAGAACTTTGCATAATTATATTATTAAGATGGTTTTATGTCCCATGATGAAATGACACTTGAAATAACTTTTGTTCTATTCAATATTTTTAATTTATTTTTGTAGTCGGCCTCTGTGTCGATACAGTCAAAATATATTTAATATATTAAAAAAAAATTTGTTGTGTTTAATTATATATACTATAATTTGTTTTGAACATTTTTGGTAGTTGAAACTTTTGTTTAAGTATGGTATTTTATTTTCTACAATTTAATATTACTAAGTACATTAATATCAAAGCTTACTTAAAGCTCTAAAACTGCTCCTAATTTTTGCTAAACATGTTTTAGAAAATAACCATAATATAAGCTTTGATATTAAATACCCAAAATAATATTTACATTAATTCAGTTTTAGAAGAATTACATATATACAATGAAATAAAGAAAAATAATTTTAATAATATTTAAATTGTACAAACCGATTTTAAAAATAATATTTTATATCAATACATTTTAGATAAGAAATAATAACCAAATAATTTGTATTTCTGAACATATCTATGTCTAATAATAACCCTTTTTAAAATAATCTCGACAATTAAAATAAATTATTTCTATATTTCATATAAAACGACCAATTTGTAATTTATCTTTTTTTTTTTATGTATTCATTTAATTATTTATATTCAGTCACGTTTTACATTTTGACAATAATATACCTGATGATGAATTTTTAATTCAAAACCGGTCATATCCGGTATCCGGTATCCGGGATACACTTATCATAATACTCCAAGCAACACACACAACCATTTATTTATTTATCTTTTATTTCTATGTATACATTTTTTTTATTTGTATATTCATTTTTTGAAATGTTTACAAATGGTTATATATTTGTGGTTTGTAATTTATTTACTAAAATATTTAATTAGTGTTCAGAGCACAATATGCTTTGATGTCATCAAATAACAAGAATTTTCTTTTCCATGAGTTTTAATATACCTAATATAATATTATCATAATTTGTAGACTGTTTTTATTACTTGTAAACCACAATAATTAATTGACATTTACGAAAAATTGTATAAAATATACTTAACAAAAGTTTCAACCACCAAAATTACAAAGTAACTATTTTTAACACTTATTTTAATTCCCATACCTAAAGAAAATGTAATAAGCGCAGAGGTATACTAATTATTTTAAAAATATTTAATAGAACTATTGATTGTAAATACTATAGTATTTATAAAACAACAGTTATTTCAAATGTCAGATCATCATGAGACATCTTATGTAGTAAAATATATAATGACTATTATAATATAAAATCTATGTTAAGAAATAAATATTTAATATTATTGATTTAACAAATTTTAAGTCTAGTGAAAGTATTATTTTTTTATATTATATGATAAAAATGTTTTTTAAACATTCATGTTTCTATGAAATCTATATTACACACAATTTATCTTAAAAATTACTGTTTTATTTTTTTATTCATATTCAACATTGGCTAGAATTTGAATAGTATTTTGTTTAATGAAACCTTATCAATATGATTTCATATTGGTTAAGCTTTAGCAAATTCATAAACAATTTATAAAAAAAAATTATTAATACCAAACAAGATCAGATAAAAATAATTTGAAATATATATGAATTAAAACATTAGGTAGATGAAAAATGTGTAGAATTTAAAACAAATAAACTTCCTGGATTTTATTTTTCCAAATTTGTTTATATGTAGTTCAATTAATTTTCATATTCCTTCGTAAATTAAATATTACATATTTTTTCTATGTAAAAATTGGTAACATTCTTTGCGAACATCAATTTACGTAAACACATGATCACTTATACTTATAATAAAAATTGATATTTTATCAAATGTTGAAATACTTAAGTGTTTTTGAAAAAAAAAATGATTGTCATTATTAATGAAACATTCGGAAAAATCCAGGTTCTGGTCGCTTTCATAAACATGATAATAATTGATGATCGAAATGATTTTTTTAAGGTTTTTTAAAATCTAAATTTAATAAACAAAAAGACCAAGTTATTTTTATTATTATTATTATTTTTTTTTTTTTTTTTTTTTTTTTTTTTTTGATAGACTGAAAAAAAGTGAACATCATACACAAGAAATTGCAAACAAAAAAGTTGACATCCTTATACATGAAAACAAAAACAATATAACTTAATTAAAAGACCATCTAGCGAAACCAGGTGACACCTGCTTATTAATAATATTGTGGCTATACATCATATAATAATTTACTCCATTATGCAATGAAAATGATTTATTTGTAAAAAATAATAATAACAAATAGTGCAAAGATAATATAACTATTATATGTATTATAAATTTAAAAACCAACTTTTATTTATTTTGATACTTCTAAAACATACTAACATATTAAATATTAATTAATGACTAAATTGATAAAGTTTTGATTTAACTAAATGAAATCTTTTTAACATACATAAAATATTAAAGATTTAACTAAGGAACTATTTCACTTTATCAGGATTTGATCAAAATGTTGAATTTTATAAGAATCGGCAGACATCGCAGATAAATGATTTTTATTTTATTCTTAGTAGCAAAATTAAATTCCATTTAAAACTATATTTTCTTTTCTTTTTAGTTATTATACATTACTCAGGTTGACGATGTCTTAGATATTCTGTATTAAAATATACAATTGTTATAGTTATATCATCTCTAAATGATCTAGAAATATTTTTTGGTAAATTTAATAATTGAGATAATTTAGCATGCTCAACTCCATATTCAGTACCTCCCAAAGCATTGCGTATTAAATGTGTACATGCATTTGCATCAACTGGTTTTCGTTTTAAACTATCTCGTCTTTGTAACAATAAATTATTTATTTCCTTTAATTTCATATTTTTTCTTGGTAACTTAAGTGGTGTCAACGTAACTTTTCCACTCATGTGCTCTCCAACTAAACGAACAACCTAAAATTTAAAAATAATTATTTGGATTATAGCAAATATTATTAATTATATTTTACTTGTAATGGAGTCATAAAATCCCAGAGCCCATCAGTAGCTAATACAAGAAACTTATCTCTTGGTTGTAGATGATAATGAGCGACTTGAGGTTTGGCAGTTAAGTATGGAGGTGTGTAATAAAATGGTGGTATTATATTTTCTCCTAATTTAGGAATATATTCAGATAACATCTCTCTAGACCATTTATATCTATAAATATGTTTTAATGTCAAATAAAATTATCAATATTAATTAAACACGGTATATTAAATGCTTTTGTTACTAAATTGCTTAAAAACATAAAAACCTTAAATCTCCAAAGGCTCTTAATGGTGCTAATTGACCGAGAAGCCTATCATATTTTATCACTGTGTCTTTTTCATTAACTGGATGTTCAGAAAGTATTCTATTAAGTTCATTTAAATTTTCAGTATTGTGTTCTTCAACCATAACCTATATAATAAAATAATATAAATATTAAGCTATAGATACTCAACGATGTTATTAAATATTTGTCTACCTTAGCTACCCATGTATCATCATCTGTATAAACTCCAACTACTGCTAAACAATCTCCAGCTGAAGCAACATGCAAATGAGGTCCATCAATATGAGCAACACATGCTACTGATCCAGACAAACCTACATTTAATGTTAAATTATCAACATCACCACTAACATTTAATCTTGCTTCAGCCATAATATCTTCGTCTAGTTGCATAAATGATTTTTCCAATGCATCTTTCATTTTAAATTGATGTTCTTGACGTTCATTTATTAATTTAAGTACGTATGATTTAAGACTTTCAGCATATATAGATTTTAATTCACCAACTAAATGAAATGTCTCATTACGCATTTCAACAAGCTTACTGTCATATTGTAGATATTCCATAAGCAATGGCTTAGGTAATAAACTAACACAAATGTAATCAAATAAACGTTTGGCAATTACATGAGAACAGCTTGCACCAGCATGGCCATCAAACACTCCAAACAACATACCTAATCAATTGAAACATTAATATATAATTGAATACGTAGTTACATACTGAACTGACATAATATACCTATTACTAAACATGATAAAATGAAAGTACCTATATTTAAGGGCATAGCCATGAAAGAGGTTATCAGGTTACAACCCCCTTGTGAATCTTTGAATAGATACCCTTCAATATATTGAAATAGAATATTTCATAAATGTACAATTTTATAATTTGTATTCCGTTCTTAGACACATTCCATCAAAACATTGAAGATCTTTTTGCCAATTGCAAACATTTTTTTAGTGAATTTTGAACTTTGAAACTGAAGTAATTATAAATAATATTGAAAAACTTACAGTTTAGTTAGGCAAGTTTATCAAGAAGTTAAAATATGATACTCTTTTTGAAAACTGAATTATTCATTAATCCTAATATTTTAGAGTATTTAAGTTTCTGTGATAATATGATACATCCAAATGTTCATAAAATAATTGAAACATTAGCTACATTGCCAGTGACCACATTTACAGCCGAACGCTCATTTTCCACTCTTCACATATTGAAGACTTATTTGAGTAACACTAAATCAAAACATATTAAAGTGGTTTGGCTTCATTAAATATTCATCGGGAAATACCAGTAACACTAAAAGAAATTTTAAATCAATTAGCTAAGACAAAAAAGAAATTAGAATATGTAATTTTTAAATAATTTTATATACTATATACTTTGCTGTCTATATGTAGTAATACTATATACTGTATTATAATATTACTGTTTTTTAATAATACAAATGGGGTTTAATTGCTTAGCTTGTATTTTGTAATTATTGTTTTTGATATTTAAAATTTTTTGATACAGAGAAGAGCGAGGAATGTATTGGTTTTACAAAGATGTTTATTTTTTTATTTTTCTAGAAATACTTTATAAAACATGAGTTAAAAAAATAGACTGATATAATAAGACTATTTTTAATACTTTAATTAATAGTAAATATGTATAGTATTCATAGATCTAAATATTAATAAAAACAGTATAATATTGTATGAATTAAGCTAGGTCATTCATATATATTTTAAACGTCAATATGAATAAATTGGTATAACATGAAATTATAATAATTCTACACAGTTTATATATAAATACAGTTTACCAATATAATATGGTCAGCCCCCGCCCCTTTGAGAAAATCCTGGCTACGCACCTGTGTATATTAATAATTAAATTTAAATAAACTTACAAACTTGATTAATCACTTATAATTTTTATCAACCTGAAATGCACAGGACAACATTAAAGATAAAATTATTCATTTAAATAAACCAACCAGATGTTAAAAGACATTTTGCTTCAGCACGGACATCTTCGATTGGAACATTTGATTCTAGTTGATTTGTTTCATATGCTTTAATAGACCCACAATTCTGTTCAAATTCATATAAATATTCTTTAGAACTTAGGATAGCAGTCACCTACAATATTATAAAGATACAATTTATAAGTAATAGTAATAGTGGCATTCTATTCTTAAATAAATTTACTTCTTGTGGTGTAATTTTTCTAGCTACAACAGATTTATGTATATATTTTGAATGCAATTTATACTTGAATATATTTTTAAGACTTAAAAAACAAACATTATTAGCAGAAATATTAAGAGACATCATTTGTGAATTGTAAATTATAAAATTTATATTTTATTGTTATAATAGTAATTAATTATTCATTAAATCACAAAAAAACTTATTTTTTGATGACAACAAATGTATAGTATTTGATAACAATGATGATAAAAATTTACAAAGTATGTCACATAGAATTCTACCACATTTATATATAAAATATATATATCCCTTTAGGATCCTACTATAGTCGGGTTAATGAAAAGTGGCCGCTGGCAATATGATAGTTATATTTTTTTTTCGACAAACAGGAGTTCTCAAAGTGAATCAATAAAAGCGCGTTTGATAATAACATCAGGCCAGTGCACGGTCAAATATGAACTGCTTCACATTTTGAATACGTTTTTTTTTCGTTTTTGGTTTAGTTACCAATTGTAACCTTCGACGATTGTAATGTTATTTTATGGCGGGACTCTATACTGGTGGGACTACATATTTAAACTACATGAGGAATATGTATTATACAATTGTACCCTTAACATCTGCTTCCCTACGCTGATATACGTCATTCGGCAACGATTATTGCCCGTGTTGTGTTGCTACGAATTGGACGAAATAGCACTAGAAAAGGGTCATGAAGTGATAAGATTACCTCCATACCATTGTCAATATAACCCTATTGAGTTAATTTGGGCACAGGTTAAAGGGGAAATAGCTAAAAAAAAACAATACTTTAAGATGGCAGACGTAGAACAGTTGGCGCACGTGGCTATGGATGCAGTAACACAGAAGGATTGGGAGAAGTGTGTTGCACATGCGGAACAAATTCAAGACGAAGATAATAGGAAGGAAATTTTGAGGGATGTCATGTTGGAGCCGATCATTATTACATTAAGAGACGACGATAGCGATTGGGGTGATGAACAGGATGATGAAAACATATTTTTTGCAGATATGTAGTTTAAGTTGCTTAGATTAAAATTAATTTTTTTGCATATATTTGACCTGAATTTATATTATATATGACTTGTACATACATTTGAATGAACTCTGCATTAAATTACATTATTATTGCTTATATTTTTACTCAAATTATTAATTTGTATTACTTATTGGAATGACAAAAATTCACCGCTGGGCGCGCGGGCATCAGCGGCCACTTTCCATTCACCCGACTGTATAGTAATTCTCCCGCAGTTGTGATAAGATCGTTGTGGTAAGTGTTACTCACGTCACAAAGAAGGCTCACGACTATAAGTTGATAACGCCCAGTGGTTCCAAAGCTGCATAAATATTGCTATAAGGGCATTTGGTAGGCAATAAATAGTCATGAATGTACGAAATGAAGTCAACTAAAGGGTGAAAAAAAGTAGGTAATAATGACATGCAAGACAGTAAACTAGTCGAAGTGTTCGATTTAGATGGCCAATAAAAAATAGAAGGAAACCTCGTTTAAAAAACTAAAATTAATTAATACAAATAAATAAATAAATGTTCTCTCAGATCGTATAGTAAAAAATGATTATCCTCCCGGAAGTGCTTCTAAAGTCCTGGCCTATTTCAAAATAAACACAATTTCTGGCATACGTATGTAGGTACGTTGTATTTTAATTAAAATGGACATAAATTTACTTTAATAAGGACGCACCTTTATACATATTTCTTTTAGAACCGTTTTGCTTGTACAAAAGTTATAAACATGATATATAAATGAAAATGTTTGAATACAAATATTAAGTGCTTTTCGTTTCTTTTTTTGCTGCATTTTTGTCTTTTTTAAATTTTCTCTAAGCGTTATTTAATGATTTTCATAGCAAAAGTAACATCAATTATTTATTATCTTCGTTTTAAATCACAGTTATATTGATGCGATCCGTGGTCAGTGAAAAAAACTAAATGCAGGATAATGTAGGTACTAGATACACAAGTTTATCTATTATTATACGGCTTGCTTGAAACGTCGTACACCCAATAAGAAAACTATAGTAATCTGGGTTACTACATTTTCTTTACTTAAATTATCTTGGTTTCCACGTCAGTAACACCTGTGTATATTAATATTTCAACCATTTTTTATTTTATGTTTTTATTTATGTAATACGTAATTTAGTAATATTCGTGAGAGTAGATTTTAAGTTATTGCATTTCCGAGAACGGCTGCATAGTTGTATATATTATGTTACGGGAAAAACAAGAAGTCGGACATTGTGTACAGTGCCCGGGCACTGCACACAATGTCCAATTTTCGAGGGCAAAGTTAAAATAAGTTTACATTTCCGAGCATTGTAGATTAAAAATTGAAAATATTAAAATTAAAATAAAACATCTTACTAGGCACTTTTAAAAACATAAAAAACTTGCAATAGACTATCCGTTGAATTATTTAATTGTTAATAAAATGTAATGTTAAGTGTATATAGTATTATATTATTTTTTATTCATTATTACATACGCCACTATAATGGCACTTTTAGTTACAGAGTCGACAAGGTTTTTAACATTTACAGCGGTTGGTCTTATACATGATGTATTACAAGCACACTTATTGTACTCTTGGCCACACAAATTAAACGAATTTCTTGTCGCTTGTCTCTTAAGCGCCCGAAACACTATCGTTCTGTTGTACAATTTTACCCGTACGTGTTTGACGGTATAATTTTAACCGAACCGGATAAATGTCCATACACTATCGTGATTAATACCTACAGGGCACAGGCTACAATTTTACCCGGACGTAATTCATCGTACAGATTTACCAAATCGTTTAGTTGTTGCCCTGTTGTTCACACACACATACACACAGTTTTGTTATCAGTCGGGTAAAAACGAAGAACGAACCGAATAATATCGAAATAATTTATTCGTTCCAACTTTATTTTGTCAGGATTATCCATACACAGTACATTTTGGCATTTTATCCGTATAGGTAATTACGTTTGGTTAAAATTGGCATTAAAACCGATAGTGTATGGCACGCTTTAGAGAAATTTGCACTAGTGGTACCTCAAGACTCATGAACCTCACGAGTCATTATTGTTATATTTTTATAACCCCCCTTGTTTTACTTTTATATTTCAAATTAAATTCATACACCATACGTTTTATACCTCCGTGTCCCGCAGACACATGCGTTGTGTCATTACGCACCGCTATAATCAACCAACGACAGACTACGAGGCGCCGTGCGTGACGGTAGTCTTTCGAAAATATTGAACAGGAGAAAAATAACGAATAAAATTATGAACAATGAAAATTATTATCGGTGTACAGAACACACACAGGTGTATTTACCAGTGCGCTCTAATGTACGTGTCTATATTTGTTCCTAAATTAAATAAGTATTTCGTGAGTCGCGATGTCATACGGACAAAATAAGTATTATCATCTGTTTTCTACGATGCCGGTATTCGCGATTAAAAGCGAAAGGGTCGCTACCCGGTGGAATGTATCGGAACTGCTGCTTTACAGGGGAAGATTTACGTTTGGTTGCATTAAGCCGGTCCCACGCGGCTCGTCGTTGTTCGCCACTCGCGCCGACAGCGACGAAACGTCGCGAATTACTAATTTCGTCCGAGTATCCGAGTCGTGTCGGAGTATTGGCGATGACAGGTCGTGCAGGAGCGACATATCGTCAAGCCAAAATACTCGGCGAGCATCGTAATCGCGTGTGTTCGCCGGGTACGCCGAGTCGTGTGGCATCGGCTTTACATTGAGCACCTACCGAGTTCTGAGTTTCTTTGTAATCATTATAAATATAGCTTTATTTTTTGATGTTATGGATGGCCATGTTCCAATATTCCGGCCGGATGTAAAATAAAAAACGCATAAATTAAATACAAAGTTGTGTTGAACTTACATAGTATGTACTATACCCGGGATGGACGACGTGGAGAGACTCGCGAGCCGCCCGATATATTAATAAATACGGAAAAGCCAAAATGAAAAAAAAAAAAATCACATTAATATAATATTAATCATCAATAAGATAAGATATCAAATATAATGAAAAAATGTAAATAGAATGCCAAACAATATAATAACGTACAATAATGTCAGATTAGATTTTATCTTAATTTTGTCTTTATAAATACTATCATAAATACACGTGGATATGTCTTCATGTTGCTGTTCGACGTCGTGAGTGTAACACCGTAATATTAATAAGATAATTATCACGTCTAAGAAACGCAAGTATGAAGAAGAACATAGAGAATTCAAATTACACCGGGAAGAAGAGTTGTTAAGGACTGCTTTAACAACACATAATCCGGATTTCAAAAAATTCGCAAATAAAATGAACACCCAACAAATGAGATAATAATTAATAATTTAAAATTTAAAAAATATATATACTTGAATATTATATTAAGAACACTTGGTTTTTTTTTCGTACATTTTTACTATGAAATGTAATTTTTAAAAATTTTGTAGTTTTTCAAACTCATATAGTAAGTTCGTAATAAAACAAAATTTTTTGTAAAAATGTTTTGTGTCTTACGATAAGATGCGAGCCGCATAAGTCTATGACGCGAGCCGCAGTTTGGCCGTCTCTGTAATATACAATATACCGGGTGATTCATTTAAGTGGGTACACTAATTATCTCGGAAAGTATTAACTTTTACCGAAATTTGTTTTCTAGAAAATTTAAGAAACAAGCTAATCCACAATTTTATATTTGTGTTATTTTTCGTCGCCTTTTTATTTTTGGGGGGAAAAACAACTACCCGTTTTTGATTTTAAAATGGCCACCTATATTAAAAAGTCCATGAATTGATTGAGTATTAGTTAAAATAAATTTCAGTGTTGACATTTTTGATTTCTGTTAAGCCGTTGAGGAAATATACGAATTTTAAGTTTGGGTTGGAGGAGAGTAGTGTAGCGGATACGGCGCGCGACGTATTAATAATGTACCACTTCTCTCCTCCAAATTAACACCAACATAAGTTTCATAAGTTAGATAGACAATAGACAGACAAATTGAATATTTTCAGGAGCTGGAAAACCAATATAGGTACAAAACTGAACGTTGATACCTAATATATTTTTAAAGATGGGTAAAAAAATTAATTTTTAGTTGTTGGGTAGGCAAATTATTAAAGTAGTGTCAGTACAATATTATAATTACTGGAGTTGAGGAAAAAACATTGTATACAAATTTGAGAACCACTAGATATTTCTTATCAAATATTACTAGGGAAACGCAAGATACATCTTTCATTTTATACAATTTTTTAATTTTTAAATTCAATTAAATTCAATTCGATTGGTAGTTTCTCAACAAATTTCAATTTGTCACACGTTACTTGATTTAAATTTATTAGTATTATTAATATTTACTAATCATTGCATAATGCACGATTCAATTATGGTCCACGGAGCTGGTGGTATTCCAGAGAAATCATGGAGACCACAATTTGCAGTTATCGAAACTTCGTAATATCTAAACTGCATAAATTAATTATAATTTAATAATGCATTATATTATATTTTTAGAATGGGTCAAATAATTATTGAATTGTATTGGAATCATGCTCCAGAAACTTGTCGTAATTTTGCTGAACTCTGCAGACGCGGCTATTATAATAATACAAAATTTCATAGAATCATTCGTAATTTTATGATTCAAGGTAAAATACTATATTTTAAATAAAAATATTTTTAAGACCTAAGTATTCACCTTTATTTTATATTCAATTCTATTCTAAGTTCTTCACTATTGACCAATCTGAAGTCCTGTGTTATAAAACTAATTATTCGTACCCAGACATTTCGTCGTCAAATATTATTTTCAAATTTTAGATATTATTACCATTTGTTATTATTTTAACCTGGTAAATAAAATATAATTCATAAAGACAAAATTCAAATTTCAAAAACATTTTCCTGCACTGACATCAATAATTCTGTTCAGTGCAGGTTAAATACAATATAGAGACTAAACTGGTCTTTATTTTTGAAT